AATACTCTGCCACATTAAAGTGTTAATTAAAAAATGGACGCAATTAAAAATATGCATGCGCTCATTGTATTCTAATTCGAGGTAAAAAGGGGAGGGAAAAGGAAAGCGTGGGGACCAAACATTTAGGGAAAATGCACATGTAGGAAACAGTGCTTAACAACTCGGGGACGCAAAAAAAAAAAATTAATAAATAAATTAATAAATACGGACCACGTGTCTGTCACAATAAGAGCAACGGGCAAATATGCATCAAGTGGTAATTACGCCATTTGTACAGACACGTACAGTTCGACATGGGGGCGAACTTCGTGCACATGTACGAGTGTGTACCCATGTCCTGCATGCGCACATAAACACACACACACACACACACGAATAGAGAGGGAGAGGTACGAAAGTGTTGCGATGCATGCAGAACTTTGCACATTGGTTGACACCCCGAATGACGCGTCCTAAATGTACGCTGGATTTGGTTTCTTCAAAATGCAAGGAACACCATGTTCCATGAGTCCAGTCCCCGTGCGGTTCACATGGGGGCGCACCTCCCCCGAATGCTCAACGGAATGCTCGACCCCAATATAGCTATAGCCTCATCTCCCTATACTTGTACTTTATGATCGTCTGGAATAGCAACAGCAGGGCGATAAATGTTATGGGGATGTAAAACGTCTGCTTCACATCAATGGAGGACAACATGCTGATGGTCTGGCCCACGGAAACTGCAAAAAAAAAAAAAAAAAAAAAATGGATAGCGGAACGTTATGAGCATACGGGAGAATCCGATTCATACGGACATAGAGGCAAACCAAACCGATGTTCCCAACGTGGCACAAAGACACGCACGCGTATGTGGCCGAGCGAGGGATAGATAAACCCCAAGAAGGGTCACCTATGTACGGGCAACGCATGCATAGAGACAATTTCGCACGTGTGCACTTACCCAGGATAATGGTGTTGGGCATGAGCCCTATGTACGTGGCCAACGAAAAGGGGATCGCAGGAAGGGAGAGAGACGCTACCAAAATGTTTATCAACGCATTGGGAAATACAGGAGTTAACCTTAAAATGGCAATGTAGAAAAACAAATCAAATTTACTCTTAACTCTTTTCTTTATCTGCTCATCAAATTTGGTAAGTGGCTTCCTAAAAAAATATTCTATTACTGTACGTCCATAATTCTTAAAAATAAGATATGTCACTAGGGGAGAAATTGTGGAAAGTAGGGAACAATAAAATATGGAGAACGCATAATTGTAAAACGCCCCAATTAATATAGTTATGATAGTACCCGTTCCTGTCATCCACCATAAAAATAACGGGAAGGCTTGGTAAAAAATATATATTAATGACAGCAATATGAGCAATATAAGACCATGTTCATTTTTGTAGGAAATTAAAGAGTCATATAGAATTTTAATTTTCCCTTTGTTGTTCAATGTTATGAGATCTTTAAAATTTTTTGGAATGAGCGTTTTTATTTTTTGCTTGCTTTCTATGTTTAGGCCTGCATGGACAGAGGGGGGCGGTTTGGAACAAAAAAAAAAAACAAAAAAAAAGAGCACTGTGTGAGGGGTTTGAGCTCAAGTGTTATTTCTTATAATGGTTACATTTCTGAACACTTGGAGGTGTATGCTCTTCTTGGAGCTCGACGCTCCGGGGATGCGCTTTGACACACATGCGTGCGTGTCTACACATGTGTGCACATCGCTTAACGCCGTGATGGTGAAACCCTTCCCATCATTTGACTCACCCGGAATGAGATAAATGTATGTCGTAATCACCACAACGAAGGATACGAATATTAGGGAGAGGTAAACGAGGTGTAACTTCAACTCTCTGCTTTTTAATTTTGGGATGAATAATATATCAGTTTCGTTTGTCACATTTTGTGTTTCTTTTTTTTTCATCTTTACGACTTGCATGGTCTAGTTAAAATTGCCTGCACGTTCATGTGATAATGTAGGTGTGTAGCGATGCCCATGGGCAGCGTGGAAGCAACAGAGCACTACATATATGCACGTGTACGCATATTATATACTCACGCCGCTCATACATGTGTGTACGAATATATAATCGCGTCCGCTGGTATGCGCACTTCCGCAAATGTTCGCAAACTTGTGTGAATTCCTACCTGTGTGCCCCCTCCCCCTTTTCGCTTGGACTTTCTACGCGGTTCTTCTTTTCTTTTCTCTTCCTTCTATGGACATTCATGTACACTTGCGCGACGCTGCTTTGTCTCATAAAACAATCACGTAAATCTTTAAATGAAACTAGCAAGCGAATATACAGTTAAATAATTCGCTTAGTTGCTTTTTTATAAGGAATTTTCAATTTTTATCAACTTGTATACAAGAGAGCATCTTTTTTTTTTTTTTTTTGCATATCAATATGCATGCAATGTTGCTTCGCCTAGTTAGCATATATGCGAATATGCTGTATATTGGGGAGTAATTTTTTTTTTTTTTTTTTTTTTTTTTTGCGCAAAAAATTTTTTTTTTATGCATTTCCAAAGCGTTGTGAGGTTACCAATAAACCTGTATGCTGCTGGCGCGCGTGTATATATATTGGCCTGTCTTTTCCCATTTATATTTTTGTTTTCTCCCCCAACGCATGTCAACTCGTTTATGCGACTATGTGTAGCTAGAAGAATTTGCATTTATTACGCTCATACGTACATTATGCTATATGTATGTTTGTGTGTGTTTTTTTAAGCGATAAAGGGGTACTGCGACGTTTATAATTACTTCCCAAGTGGGTGCCTTTCGCATGGTTAGGTCTTTTTTCCCTTCCAAAAAAATGGAACGTGTTGCACAATAGGATTGATGTCCTGCACCAACCGCGTCCCCCACAGTTGCAGATTAACATTATTAAAATTGAGAACGTTTTATTATTGTTATTTTTTTATGTTTTAATTTTGGCTGTTTATCACATATAAGTAGATATATTTTTCAAAGGGTAAAAAAACAAATTATTCACAAAGGAAGTGAAAAGCAATTTTGCCATGTGACAACGCTCCCAATGCGCTTACACACTTAAGAAAACGTCTGTACATATGTAAACATGCATTTATTTATAAACACAATGATTGGCATTTTCTTTTCAAATGTGCCATTTCCCATTTGAGCGTAATGCAAAATGGACTTGATAACAAAAAAAAATGTGTACACCTTTCAAAAAAGACCCACGTTGTATAGCAGCCGAAAATGTGTAAATTGCGCATTACAGATATGTACAAATGGACACGTCAAATTGTTCCCTCTTCTCTATGCGCGACGTTGTAAAATAATTGTACTGAACATTTCCCCATTTGTGAATATAGACTCCCCTTTTTCTTTCATAACGGTACCTGCATTACACACACGTTCTTGTTTAAAGAAAACCTCCGCTTCGCAAAAACATCTCATTCGCGTGTATCACCCATCGGGCACCAGTTCTCCACGCATACGACTGTATGTGTACATATACACAACGCATGCGGGTGCCTTAAAATGAAAAACTTGCAATTTCCGGTTCACCCACTCTTTTCTTCCGAATCATCCCTCATGAAATAATCAAAGAGAGAAAATATTTTATTAAAAATGTAGTAATAATTTGTCCCTATGCAAATGCCTATTACTAGGCCTATGACTAGTCCGGTCGAAAACCCCCAAATGGATTTTGTTGCTTCCTTTTCTATTTCATCCAATTCCTTTGAAGCAAAGTAGTGGCTCAAGGACGCTCCGCCCAGGAATAACGCTGGTAGGTAAAATGCATTTCTCCTCAGGTATCGTTTAGGCATATTTTTATTTTTTTTTATTTCTTCCAAAGTGGACGGGAGATGTTCGTCTTCGTGCAGGCAAACGCGGTGTGCACGTGAAGCATAAGCAACATGTACATGTACAAATCTGTGTGTGCTCTTTTTCTCCGTTAGCTTGTGCAATCTTAACACACTCAGTAGTCGTCCTCTACAATCATGCTTCAAACGTATATCACGGTAAAACAAGATGGCTGTACTTCAAATTCATAATTTGGGAAGGTATCGTAAACACTTGCCCATGTATTTACGGGCACGCCTTTCTCCTCATAATACGCGTAAAAAGAAAACATTATTTTACCTTTATACATTTACATATACTTCATGTGTATGTAATGCACATGTGCATTATTTTCGTGATCATTTAAAAAGGTTTAACTTTAAGGAGAAAATGTGAATGCAAAAAAAATTGTCCTTCCAAAGGAAAACGTTTTTGTTTTTTTTTTTTCTCATTTGTAAAAATGCAAACTAATGTGTATATTTGTGTGGCGCACATTTTTCAATTTATCATTCGAGAATTTACAATCATTTAAAATTTTACATAATTGGGAGCAATTTGCACCAGAAATGTAAATTACGAAAAAGAGGGATGAACCGAAAACATGTGCCATGTAGCAAAATAATGCTGACGTGTTTGTGCTAGTGGGCTTATGTGTATACTTGCGCTTTTACTACCTTTTTATTGTGCCTCTTTGCTTCTTTTTTTTTTCCCAATATGCAATCCCTTTGTTCTATTTTTTGCTATACCAAAATGTACGTAAATGAGTAGGCACAAATGCATAAAGTACGCAAATATGTAAATACCCAAATACTCGTTTGTGTAACGTTACAAATGGCAAAGTGAGAGGCCACAAAGTACCGGCAAAATGAAATAGTTCGAACAAACATAAAAACTGGGGTATTGAGGGCTTTCTTTCTTTTTCCCCCCTTTTTTATGAAAGAGAGGAAACATGTTTTTCCACGAACAAGGCAGATAATGACACACCGCATAATTTACGAATTTAACTCCTTTTTGTATTCTCCGAAAAAATGATAAGAACATGTATTATGCGCAGTCATCCGATTGGTAAAGTCACTAAGAGAAACATCTATACAAGAAACAACGAGCAGATATCACACAGGAACATTTCCAACTTAGTGTTATGTAAAGCACAACTACATCAGCAGTCACCATTTGGACATACATTTCTCAGTCAAAAAAAATTCTTCGGGGTAAAAAGAGTTGTTCAAAAAAGAAGTAAGCCTAATTTGAATGTAGCTTGAAAAATAATATGTCTGCATATTACGAAGTGTGTAACCGTTGTGACAAACGTGTGTTTAACTTGTACGCCTTAAACGTTTCAGTTCAAACAGAAAAGAAAATGCAAAGTTTAACAGCCGTGTGTTTTGATGTGCATATCTGTCTACGCATCATGCAAGTATGTACATGTGTGTGTCACTTCTCTTTCACCCCAAACTTTTCAGAGTACATGCTAAAATTAATACAGCCACACCAGGAAAAGTTTGACGCGGAAAAATACAAAACCTTTTTGGAAAAGGAAAACCTACGTGAAAAAATTGACATAAACAACATCAACATCGACAATGAAAAGGAAGTTGAATTATATGAAAATTACTTACTAAATTATAAATATAACAAAAGAGAGGTTGAAAAGAATGCACCCCTTCCGTTGTCTCTGTTGTCATCTTCCTTCATAAGAAGAACCATTTACTCTAACAGGGAACACGTTTTAAAGAATTTAAAAAACATTAACTGGAAAAAGTATTGTTGCAATGTAAAAGGTGTGAGGTGGCATGCTAGTGGAGCATGGCGCGTCTACTTCTGTAAAAGAAATTACCAGCATAATTTTTTTGTCAAGTGTGATTGCTATTTTCGAGTAAGTATTTACGGTTTCGAAAAAAGCAAAGAACTCGCAGTTCGGTACAGGAAAAGGTTGGAGTATGAGTACATATTGCTCATGAAGCGCTGGAAGGAAATCGAAATGTAATAAAAAAAAAAAACGAAAACGAAAATATGATGAAAGAGCAAAACAGCAGTAATATTATTATAGCTGATTAAACCTTGAGCTAGCCAATTTTGTGCAATTTTTTTTTTTTTTTTTTTTTGAACGTTCATGTAAATATGTGTAAATATCCTACATGTTCATAATTTTTTTCAAATTTGTTCACTTATTCAGGGAAAATGCTAAAAAAAGAAAAATGATAAAAGAATTCAAAAAGAATAACCAGAACTTTGATCAGGAAGAATATAGTGAACAAAATGACGACGAGGGGTACTACAAAGAAAATTCAAAACGCCAAGACGTAAACTATTAAGTGTGCACACGCCAAGTACTTGGTGGAACTTGAAAGATAATGTGCAAATAAATTATTATGACAAAACGGTGTAAATTTCATTTATCACTAAATTGGCTTTTAACTTTATTTGTGTGCTTTCCGTATGTGCTAATTCGAGTGGTCATATTGTGTTAACCTGGTTGTTAACCATGGACATGTATTTCTTCTTCTTAGACACTTTGATAAACATTATTTGTTTTTTTTTTTTTTAATTATACATTTTTTAATTCATTTCATAAATTCATTAAATTAAATTAACCTTTGCATAATAGCTGAATTAATCTACATATAGTTTGCCTCCTCTTTGGAGCACTTTAAGGTGTAATTTAAACTCCAAAAGGTTTAAATGGTCTTTTTTTTTTTTTTTTTCCACATAAGCAAAAACAGTTATATATAGATACAATGAAGTTCACAAAATATAAAATAGTAGAGTTTTTATTCCCTTCCTGTCATCCCCTAAATGAAGCTTCTGCAAAAGGTTTATGCAACAAAACATTGTCAAAAGGAATTTGGAGCACACATGCATGTTTACACTTTGTTCTTTTTTTCCCTTTCCGCCCCTGTAAAATTGCCCCTTTAATGTTATCAACAAATTGTAAAAAAATAAGAAAATCATTTTAGCATTTTTGAAAATGTTGTAAATGAATACAGCAAAAAAGGTCATGCATTACTGTTTTGCACATTTGTTGTTTATACTTCAGTATCATTATTTTTATTTATTTTTTTTTGAAAAAGGGCACGTTTAATTTCACGCACTTAAAAAAATACCGAACAAGAATACGTAGGATGAGAAACGGCTCTACGTTGATAAACCGTCAATTAAAAACATTGGTTTAATGAAAAGAAACTGTAACGAGATGAAAATAAAAACAAAACCCGACGAGCGTGTAAAAATATAATTCCAACTTTTGCTCTACGTTATTTTATCTGTGTAAAATAATTAAATTGTGCTTTTTTTCTTTTTTTTTTTGGGCAAACTTTTTCTTAATTCCAGGACCAGAAACATTACTCCATTTAACAATTTAAGCCTTTTATATTTTTCTTAACTTTGATACACCGCACATTTTTTTTTTTTTTGGTACCTTCGAACGCGAATACTTGCAAGCCGTATGTGAACATGTACGTGTTTATGTAAAAGCAGGTATTTCCCCCCAAAAAAAAAGAATATGTAACTTTACATTGGAAACTTACCCTTTTGCAAAAAGAACAAAAGAAGGATACGTTACTTTACACCAGATATACTTCACCAAGGGGAATTTACCCTTTTGAATTAAGTTCCCCCTCTAATGTTATGTTCACTATACTTTATAAATTATGGTAAACATAGAAAGAGAGATGACAAAAGAGCGCTACAAGGGTTAGCCTTTCTGAGCCATGTTTGCGTCCCTCCCCCGTGTGGTCCTTTTTTAATTTTCACCTGACAACACACCAATAATATTATCACGTTCTCCCCCCCCCCCCCCCTCTCAGTTGCGGCTAAACAATGCAAGACTTTTTTTCAAAAGTAAAATTCGGTTAAGTGGCGGCAAGCAGCATCCCAAATGGGTTGTAAAGGACAAAGAAAAGTATAACATATACACATATGATAATTCCTATTATGGAGAAAACTTCAGATATAACAATTTTATCTTACATTTAAGATCATACAAGTACTACATTGACTACATAGTAGAGAACGTTTACAGATCTGTTAAGAATTGTGGAAAATGTTTCTTTAATCCTCTGAAAAATATTATATTAAAACACAACCCAGATGTTCGTTACCAGTTAGTAGCCCTTATGGCTTTTTTCGGAACCACGTCAGTCATAACATGCTACCACAATGGCATCTACCAAAACATTATTGATGTAACAAATATGTTAGAGTTAGGAGTAGTAGATGACATGAAGGACAACCGGTTTTTCGACACACAGAGCGAAATGCAGAACAAAAATATTGATGATTATAGTAAGGACCATGAAAGATTGACCGACTTGTGGTAGGTTTCCTTTGCACTACATTTCCGTGTGTGTGGCTTCCTGTGTGGCCTCGTGTTGCCATGCGTGTATGCCATGGTGCATCCCTCGTGTGAATAAATTTTTCCCCTTGCACGCCACTAAAAATGATGTGCAATTTTTGCGCAAATGTATACCCATGTTTTACCCCTCTTGCCTCCATGATTAGGGAAAGGGCACTGAAGGACGCGACAAACAAAAACAGCTTTGATCAACTGTGCAGCTACTTGGCCATAGAGGATGGTGAGCCCATAGTAAACTTTAAGCCCAAGCATATCTGGAGATATAACATGATTCCCTATGGCGAAAATAACCCAGACACGAAGACGTTTGAAATCCCGGCACACGAGAAGCCCTTTAGATCCTTTGCATTAAACTTTACATATAATAATCTGTCAGGAAATTGGGGAGATTACATTGACAGAAGAGACAACAAGGGATCTTTGCTAAGACCTTCAAGGTACATGTTCACGGATGTAATAATACCCGCGACAAAATAATTTTACAAACAATTGAGTTGCGAAGTCGCGTGCGTTTACGCGAGTGTACATGCAGTGTGTGTACAACGGGGCATGCGTGCGCTACATATATATGGAGCACACTGCATATATATAACGCACACATGAAACGTACATTGCACATGTGTGTACACGTGTACGCCCTTTTTTTAATAAATAGAAAAAATTATTAATTTGAAAAGGATATAAAAAAAAAAAAAATTATGTGCGAAATGAATTTGCTTTAATTCGTTCATTTAGCGAAAATTAAAAAAAACGCAATTAAAAAAAAAAAATCGAGTTAAATTAACCACGATATGTACACGGTTAAAAAGTTGAATGGGGGTACGAATAAGATTACTATAAAAATCAATTCGGGGGGGTGGTGCACTCATGCTTGTCATGCACGGTGCGTGCCCTACCCTAGGCATACACATATATACATGCATATATATATATATTACATATACGTACGCATGTGCATGCGTAAATACAAGCGCAATGGGCCTCCGGTCAACCCGGGCGCCACCTACGGAACGTAGTTGTTCGCACTGTAGAAGTTCCCATTTGGATATACGCCGTCCATAGGGACTGCCCCGGGGTACAATGGATTAAAACCATTTTGCGGAGGCATTTCATTAAAAGGGGGGTAGTTCATCATGTATGGAGCATTCGGTGGAACTTGCTGCGCATACATGTTAAAATTACCTTGTTCGTTATTCTGCATAAAATTATTTTGGGGATTCATATTCTCTGGCAATTTATTATTATTTCCGTTGAATGCCATCATTTCCATGGGAAAGGGCGGGGGAACAGGGACAGCCACAGGGACGGGCATAGGAGGCATGTTGCCGCTTTCGTAATTCATATTATTGCACATATTTTGCATAGGGTTGTTAATAAACGGATCTGGTGCATTATTAAAATTCATATTTTTGTTTGGATAGTAAAAATACGGATTGTTATTTAAATCTGGCTGGTTGTGATAACTATAATTCATGTTAAATTTATAGGGGTTATTGTCGAAATTTTCCTGTGCACCTAGATGTATTTTTGCCTTTTTACTTTCGTTTGTATTTATATCGTCTAATTTTCTTTTACAATCTAGGTTCATTGAATTTAAGACAGACTTCAGAACGTCGTCAAAATTTTTATTTTTAATTAATAGATATTTTGAAATTCCTCTATGAACCCACGGTAGTTTGTAATAACTATCATCATTGATATTTGCCGCTTGGTCATATATATAGTTATTATCATTTACACTTTCGAAGTCCACTGGAAATTTGCTATTCATCACGTGGTCAATAAAGCCACATGGGTTTTCATAAAAATTTGTATAACGTAACCTTAAGCTATTTTTCTGTTTAATTTTACATAAGATGTTTATAATATCCTCATCCAAGTTGTCTATTTCGCTTTGTATTCCATTTAACTTTTCAAATATAGATATTGTTGGTGAATTTAAATTTGCTTCTGTTTTATCACTGTCCTTTCGCGATAAAGAGCCTTCTTTACCTGACCGTTTTTCCTTTCCCCCTTTTTCTTCACACACATTTGTTTCGCCCTCCTCTTCGACGTTTTCAGCATGGGAATTTTCCTCCTCTGATGAATCTCGATTTTGTTCGCCGCTGCTCTTGGCCTCAATGACTTCGTCCCCTTGGTCCACTTTTTCATCAAACTCGTCTCCTTCCTTGTCTTCTTTGGAACTCTTCATATTTTCAACATTACATTTGCTCATTTTATCGCTGCTTCCATCCTTTGTTTCATTCATTTTCAAAAATTGTAACAAATTACTGAGGTGATGTGAATCCAGAACAAATTTTTGAAGTTTGCCATCTTCGAAAGCTATGAAGGGTTCAAAAATGTCCACTACGATATCGTAGATACTCTCCGATTCATCTTGATTCTCTAGATCAACCACGTGCTCTAGAACTATTGGCTTTTGTATGGACACATGTTTCTGCAGAATTCTCGGGAGTTCACAAAATTCGTATTCATCTACCTCTAACACGTCTCTTAACACTTCATCCGTTTTCATAATCCCATTGGAATCAATTAATTCCTTTTCTAGGCTATATTCACAAATACGCTTTATAACTTCCGGCATGGTTTCTTCAGGGGATTGCATAAAATTTTTTAATTGAGGCGAAAGTTCGAAAAATGGTATTTTTTGGTCTAAAAATAGAAATATTTTAATTGTCTCCTTTTTTTTTTCATTCACTATACGACTAAATGTTAGCTTATCACAATCGTAATAATTTTTATTATTCTTATCATATATAATGGTTTCTTTATCCCTCATAACCATGATGGTTGAAAAGAAGGAAGTAAATTTCATAACAGTGGTGTTACAATAATCTATCTGCTCATTCCTGTCAGATATATCACCAATGTCTGTGACTGAACATTTGCTGTCCGCATCCTTACTTCTTTCCTTATTCTCGTCTACTAAATGACTCAAATCGTTATCATCATTTTTACTTGTGCTGGCTGGGACGACTGTATGATCGCCAGGGGAATCAGCATCATTATCGTTATCATTTTCATCGGCATTTAAAATATAACCATGAATGTTAAATGTAAAAGACGAGGGAGAAGCATACTTGTAAATATTTTCCGAATCTGCTATTTCAATATTCGCTGGATAATTCATGTCTTTGTCGCCATCATTGAAAACAGTGTAGATGTGAACCCTTAACCTGCGTCTTACTTTTTCTGTCTTTAAGGTTGATGAAAATGCTTCATTAATGTAATAGTTGCTCATGTCAATACATCTGTTTATCTCCCCTTCATACTTCACCAACGTTTCAATTAAATTGTAGTTTTTTTCGTCTATCTCTTTAACTGTCCTGGTAAGGACTGTGTTATACAAATTCTTCATAACATCCTCCTTCTCATAGTAGTTACTGTCAGCAAACAAGCAATTCGAATTTACACGATCTATAGGCTCCATGTATTCAGTCCAATTGTGAGAAGCCGTTCCAACAGTAGTTTATACACAGGTGCGTAACATACAAAAGCTCCAAACCAATTTTCGTAAATCCTTTCGTTATCTTTGTGTTCGGTTAATAACATGCAAAATGATGCTAACAGGTGAGTTATCATTCATTGAAGTTTTGTAATTTAAAAGTTAAAATTAAAAAGTTGAAAAAAATAAAACTACCTCTTTTAAAAAAAAAAGGAGGGTGTAAGGAAAAAAACGCTTGCATTCATTTTTGTACTAACTTATAACTTTAAACCTTTAAAAAACACAAAAAAAAAAAAAGGTCCACTTAACAAATTCCATAATATATACTTCTTAATGGTAACAAATAATGAAAAAAATATATTATCCTCATAATTTTACTTTTTACATACAAACAAAAACAAAAGAACATAAATACCTGTACTTGAATGTAAAATCACATAGAAAAAATGCTCATTAAATTAAACGTTAATGTAAAAATTTAATGTTATTTACATAATACATTCATATGCCATTTTACAATCCAAGTGTTGACCATTTTTAAGAAGGAAAAGAAAACCCCCCAAAAAAATTGTAAAATATATTGTGCTATTCTGAAAAGGAAAAAAAAATAAAACCAAAGCGCAGATAAAGGAAACGTGCATAAAAAAAAATAAACTTATAAAAAAAGAAATGGTAAAAAAAAAAAGGGAGTGGCGCCTAGCCCCAAAATTATATCTAAAACCATAACATCCAAAAAAAAAAAATAATGAATAATTTTTTTGGGAATGATGCTCTCACCAAATTGGGACCCAAAACACCCTTTTTAAAAAGCAGTATCAATTATATCAGCACAACTCGAAAAATGAAAATAATTGTCCAGGAAATAATCCCATCCATGGGCAAAAAAATTCTGAACAATGACTCAAAAAATTTACAATTATGCATCACATGAAAAAATGCATATACATGCATCACGGGAACAATCCCATATTATGCATTCTTTAAAAATAATAGAACGAATTTGAATTTTCAAACAAAAAATAAAATAAAATAACATGGAAAATAAGATTTTGTTTTCATTCGTGAAAAACTTATGTTTAAGTTTGCAAAAAAAAAAAAGTAAAAAGTAACATTTAAAAAAATTCCCCCTTACGTATGGTATACCCGTACTTGAAGCATGTGTAAAATAGAAGCATTGAATAACAATACAATGTTAAAGGATTTACTTTACGAAACACAAGTGAGGTATACGTGAATTCTTACCTCTTAAACGTAGTAGCAAAGTAGAACAAGGTTAACCAAAATGTTTTCATTCAAATAGGTATATTCACAAACTCACCTAACAAGTGAGCAATAAGCACACACATGGGGAAATCTCATTAAGAATAAATCAAAAAGACCAAAGTCAACATGCCGTGAGTGTGGCATTTCGTGCCGCACCCGTATTGCATTCCATATTTCATATTCATTTCATTCTGATTGTAGGTAATTTGGTACTGTTTTAGCCATCCCTTTTTTTACATTGAATAAATTATTATGCATGTACACTTATATAAACGGTCTTACCCCTCTCGTTAGTATGAGAAACAATTTTACTTGTGTGCTAAAAAAATATACATACACTTTTGCTTTATTCATTGAAAGGCCTCTTTTTCTGACGTAACGCGCCGAATTAAAAAAATAAACTAACGTTGCATCTATAGTTAATTCTACCAATTACAATGAACTGCATTACATTTTCCTTATGCTCAAGGGTAAATTAACGCGCCTATGAAACATGGACAACATGTGATTAGAGAAAAAAACAAATAATCATAATCCGCTTTAAATTGCATTGACATTTTACCCCAATGAAGTAGTTATTAAATGTTTGTCATACGTGCTGCTTGTCTTGAAAATGGCTCCATATACGTATTACATTGACTATGAGCAAAATAGGTGTGTTAATCTTTTTTTGGAAAATTAAAATGCATTTAAAACGACGAACACTCCAGATGCGATGCATTTTCCCCACAATTAAAACTGCATTGCTTTTTTATTCCAACAGATGCATATGGCTTTATTTATGCTTGTCTACTTCCATTTTCGTATTCCCTAAATGTTTATTTATATGAAATATTATTTTGCCTGAACCCATTTAAAGGACGAAAAATTATTGTAGGTATTATTATTTGAGAGAAAATTCCTTTTGTTCCGGTTTACTCCTTTTAAAGGTTTCATACATAAACACACGATGGGAAGAGTTAAAAACACGCTCAACATGTTGTACTATCGATTACTAAGTTCAGAAAGTAATGCGTCTGCAGAATGAGCTTTTATCCTATTACTTATTTATACATACAAACTGATTTTGTGTCCATTAAATTGACTTGCTGAGCACCACAAACCAACATAAACACGTAAAGTTTACAGCAAAGTTTTCACTTAACGGTGAAATTAAAATAAAAATGGAGGTTCTACCGAATGCTTTGCAAACGGGCCTTACATAATAAGTAAGAATAAACCTTAAAACCTAATCAATGTAACGGTACTATCTCTTTTATTCAATAAAAATGCAACAATTTTCACGATTTAGAAAAAATGAACATGCTTCATTAGCGAATTTTAATAAATGAACTTGTTTTATAAATTTTTTTTTCATAAGTATATGATGGTTTAACATTTAAGAATACATGTTCTGTGCAGAAATATTTGCAAAGTCAGCTGTTAATTATAATAACATTTTTTAGCATTTTTCTTCCTTTTTTAATATGATGACAACAGTGTGCTTGTCTTTTAAACAGTTCTTATTAGTTTAAATTTCACTTGGTATATTATTACAATGTTGAATAGTATTACGCCTTATATGTACGATGTCTTGTTGTGCTTACTTTTATAATATTAGGACTTGTGATTGCAAATATAAAAATTAGGAATAACACATGTCCCTTATACTAAACAATATAACATAAGCAAGTTACACCGTGTAAGCTTTCTTTCATCTCCTTATATTAATAGGAACCATACGCATTTGACACCTAAAAATCTTTTATAATAATCTTAAAATAACATATTCTTCCATGCATATTCACTTTGTTATGGTAGAAAACTTAAGGGGGACCTTTAGAAATAACAATTACTTGAGTTGCCCAAAAGTGTCAATTAACTTTTCAACTTGTAAAAATAAAGAAAAATATTATTCCAATACATTTTTTTGCGTAAATGAACCAAAAAAGGTTTAAGAATTAGTGCAAAATGTAGTAAGCACAATAATGATATAACAGACCTAACTTCCTCTGGGACAGCAAGAAACGCAAAATAGTAAAAGATTTGTATTTATTCATAAAGTATTTCGTCTTCTTAAAGAATTCATAGAATGGGTAAAAAGTTATAATACATACTCAATTTTAAGTGGATCGTCCAGAGACATGGAATGTACACTTATAACTTAATATATATAAATTATTTGTAAAAGCCCAACGTGTCTTTGCGACTCATATAGGAACATTTTATTGAAACAGAGTGAAGCGCGTTCAAAAAATTTATGTCCCCTTCTACTTCTATATATTTTGAAGAACTTTGAATTTACACTAATTTTCTTTTAAGTTAAGCGTAAAATTCTAACTTTTTTATAGTTCTGGTCCTATGTGTACCATATTTTCCTTACAATATTTTTCTGCTTTTCTTTTGGTTCTGTATTAAAAACATTAAGGTATTTTATTTTTTATACATAATTAACATACACATTTACGTAACAATTTTCGGATTGTACAGCATTTCTTAAATCATATGTTGCACAAAGATGGTGTTTTCTGTACATAATTCCTCGGGAGTCATCTAGCGTGTCTTCCATTGTAATGATTGGTTTCCGAATGAGGGTGAAGAACATAAATATTTTCAAAGAAGACATTCACTCACATTAAGCTACTTTTATGTGAAACAATTGTATTATAGAAAACATTTTATAACCACCCTTAGCATAAAAAAAAATAATTGGATGAAAAAAGAACATTCAGTTTTTCTTTACGTGTGTGGACGCAAATTTCTTATTTATGTCCTTTCTTTTATGCATTTAAATAAAAGATGGTCTGTTTTAAAATTTATTCACACAGTTCATGTAAAGCAGTGTTATTTTACATTTTTATTAGGTTGAAAGGGTTCTACATTTTTCCTTCAATTCTATAGACATATAGATAAAGGAATATATTGGATAAACAGTGTAATTTTTGGTTTTCCTTCAGTTCTTAGAATCCAAGAAAAAAGAAATAGAATTTGAAAAGAATATTATATTTTTTTCTTCATATATATATTCATTAAAATAAATGAGACTCTGTATCCTTTCATTAACAAAAGTATACACTTATAATGCAAATTTTTATTGTAGACGTGTATTTTGAGAAATGTTTCTACTGTTGCGTTCAATTAAATTTAAGTCGTTTCTACATAAATTTTGAATTTTTAACTATTGTTGAAAAAAAGGCAACAGGGGTAAAACGTGTCATGGTTCCTTGTTGTTCAATATGGTTGTGTTTTTTCAAAAGAAAAATGTGGCTAATTCATTAAAAAATATGATCTGTAGAAAAACTAAAGAACCAAGGAGCAAAATGCTTCATTTATCTTTATATTTTCGTAATTAAAGAATTTCGAGTTTTAGAGTAGAAAAACATAGCTGAAGTGTGAAAATACCCAATTACAGACAACTCTGAGTTGGTTCCTTTTACACTACAACAGTTTATTTGCCTAAACCGTTCTCAATATATACAGAATTCCCTAAGGATGTATTTAACATTATCATATGTATTGGTATTTGTAAGTCTTTAATAAAAACAAACAGGAAACAAAAAAAAAAATATGACTTTTTAAATTTAACAAGAATTTTGCAAAGAGAAACTCGAGCGTAACGTTAAACATATAGCATAATTTCATTTTATTTTATCTATAGAAAAAGCCGTGAACATAAGCAACACCTTATCATGTTTTTTTTTTTTTTATATATAATAAGTGTGCGTATACTAGAGGGGAAAAAATTGTTTTTATGTTGCACTCACAAACAGTAACCTTCTTCATAATATTATAAAGCTATTTGAAGTAATATTTAGTGTCTAAAAAATTCGTATAAAAATGATTTATGCATATTCACATAATTAACAACATCAAAATCAGCCTTACATATAAAAAAATAGAATAAAAGACTCATGATTTATCATATATATTTCAAGAATTAATAATTTAATTACAACATAATTTATTAAAAATGAATATAATTATATATAATTTACAGTTAATATATATAAGTAGAACAAATTATAGGAAATAAAAAGAAATATTAATTATAAAAAATAAAATTAAATAAAGTAATTATATATTAATTAAATTAAACATATGAATTAATGATTAATATGTGTGCTTAACAAAAGAATTTATTATATTTTAATAACAAATAAATATTTAAATAAATTATTAAATAAATTAAATAATAAATTAATTCAATATTAATTAAATAAATAATAAAAAAATAAACAGTATATAAGTAAATTAATTAAATAATAAAATAAATATACATTCACAAATAGATTATATATTAATTAAATAATGTATTAAAATATATTACATGAATAAGTTATTAAATATATATTAAATAAACAAATTATTTAAATATAATAAATAAAATGTTAATTAATTATAAATATATTAAATAAAGTATTAATTAATTATAAATGTAATAAACAAAATATTAATTAATCATGAATATATTAAATTGTATTAAATAAATTGTAAATAATTCTATGCTATATTAATTTTATTAAATTAATTATGTTTAATATATTAAAATGTTAATAAATTATTAATTAATCGTTAAATATATTGTATAAACTGAATTATTAAAAATATTTATTATAATAATGGTTATTATATATATAAGAGAATTATTTTATATGTAATATATTAAAACATTATAGTATAGTTATATGTTTTAAAATTAACAAATAAAATAATAAATGTAATTATAATTACTTAATATAACAATAAAATAAATTAATTAACATAAATTAATAAAAAAATAATTAAACAATAAATTTAATTAAATAATTGTAAATAAATAATTTAATTATATAATATAGTAAAGACAAATAATAAATAAATTAAAAATAAATAATAATATTATTTAACTATATTAATATATCATATATTATTTATTAATATAAATAATTAATTATTTTAATTAAATTGAATTCTCTATTTAATTATAAACATAATAAATATTAAATAAGAATAAATTGGAAATTGTTTTATAAATTAAATACATATATATAATTTTAATACATTATTAAGTAATTAATATATATATAATACATGAAATAATTTAATTTAAATATAATTAATATATTTACTGTGCTAAAAAAAAATATTTTTTATTTATATTATCTAAATAAATTATATTATTAATTAAATAATTTTATAATATTAAAATACTTTGTATTATTTATCAAGCATAACCAAAATAATATTTTTAAAATAAATAATTATGTGTATTATTTTATTAAAGTGTAAATAATGATTAATATATTGGCTTGCATAACTTAAATATTAAATAAAATAATTAAATGGTGTTATTTAAAAAATAAATTATTATTCATAATTTAAATGATTAACATTGTCTTAAATTATTAACTATTATATATTAAAATAATTAATTTATTTTATTAAATAATTAACATTATTTATTTTATATTACAATATTACTAATATTAAATAATTTGTTTTATAATTAAATTAATTAAGTATATTTATATTTTAATATAATTTAGTTTATATTAAATAAAATAATTAAATATTTATATTAAATAGAAATATTAATTTAGCTTATTTTAAACAATTTGTTATTTTATTTTGTGAATTAATTGCTATATTATAAAATATATTAATTAATTTAAATGTTTTTCAATTTTAATTAATTATATAAATATAATTAATTAAATTAATGGAATTATTTCCTATAATTGAATACATAAAGTATTATTTTAATTAATTTAATTATAACTTATTAATAATTTTATTTAATTAATTATGAAATAATATTTAAATTATAATTAGTAAATATTATAATCAATCATAATAATTAATATAAACAAATTTTATATATTATTATTCTTTAATTTTACGAAATAATTAATTTAACTAATTAATATATTATATATTTTTTATTAATATATAATTTAAGTATTGCTATTTTTCGCATTATAAATATAATTAATTATAATTTATTTGTAAAACTTTTATTACGTTTTATCTTTGTTATTAAATGCATTTCTTTTTATATTATTTGTATTTTTTTAACCCTGTTAACATGCTACAGTTCCTTTAACATAAAACATGAAGCAAAGTTTTGTAATTTCTTTATGAATTAATTGCACAGGCTTCTAAAGCTTCTTATAAATGTTTTTAAATTTATGTGTCCTTAAAATTTGTATTCTTGTGATTAAAGGTAAAAGGTGTAATTCCATCAATTTCTTTGTTATATTATGTTTCCATTATTTATTATTTTTTATTTACTCCTATTATTAGGTGTGTACTTTGGAAAAACCGTCCCTTCACAGTCATATTATTTAAAAAAAAATGGATTATTTTACTATTGAGCTGTTTAATGAATGAGCTACGGAAAAAAGTATACAGTAAATGCTTAATTTAGTATCTTTTAATATGAATAATTCAAAGTAGTTAATTTTGTGTAAAGGTATGAACCACATCTATAAAGGAGTATCTAAACAAATTGAAGTTACAAGTTTTTGAACACTTGTCTGAAATAATTTCTACATTCTATGAATTATTTTTTCTTTAAGGAAAAGAAAAAAGGTGTGCACATGTAACGTTTTACGAAAAGTTCATTTATTACATGAAAAATGTGGAATACTATCTTACGAAGTGCATTGCATGTGCGCTTCTTCGCAAATTCCTCGCCGGTTTTACCATTTGTTTTAAGAAACCCTATATCCATGTTTACCTATGCATTAGGAAAACCCTTAAATATGTATACATGTAATGATGATGACCTCACATGAGTAAAAAGTTGTTTAAACACCTCCTCATAAACAAGTTAGGCTTCATCTGCAGTTTCGTTGCAAATTGTTGTTCTGAAAAAAAACGTAAAGCTCAAATTACGTGCAACATAACCTCTTAGTAATATACAACGTCTTCATACGTTTGCAGTGCTTTGTTTTTCTCATTAATGCATTGCATTATTCGTTTTTACAGATTGAAAAGGCGTTTTAAGATTCATATCAATAAGAACACTTAATTTGAACGAAACAGTTTTAAATGTTTAAAAAACATCACTAATGAATGCTATTTTGGATTAAGCAAACCTAACAATTGTGGTGGATGCATTTTTTAGTTTGTGTACTTGTACACACTTTAATGTAACCTTCCTTATTCTAAAAGACAGTGTTTATATTAAATGATCTGCAAATTCGATACAGTAAATAAAAGACAATTAAAAAAGATAATATATGGCCCAAAGTGTTCACTTTTTCTCATGGATCGTTTAATAGGAGCATAAATTTTGCATTGCTGAATTTATGTAGAAAGTATTGTTAGGTCTAATTTGTGGGTATATAAATATACATATGCAGAAGGAAAAATTTTACTTTGTAATGGGTTATACGAGCTACGTTAGTGGTCATTTTCTCTTGGTTCAACTAGTGCAGAATTACGAGTATGTTATCTTTTTATCAAATGAAAAGCGATATTAAGTATATATAAATACCTGATACAGAACTTGGAACTAACTTATAGAAGTCTAATTAGCAAAAAAGAGGAAAAAATCATTTTATAGTACTTTATTCCATGCAAAACGAAGATTAGAACTTATTATGTTCACCTACTTTATACATATATAAAGTTTTATAGGACACAACATGGTTTAGACGAATAACAGTTTATACGTCTAATTATGTGAAGCACTTGTTGGTATTTCCATAATTTTATACCTCCATTTTGTTTACATGCATTCCTATTATTTATGCAATGCACAATTTGCTCTCCTTTCAATTACCGTTTGTCTTTTACAAAAAAGGTAAATTTTACTAAATTATAGTTAATATAGTTAGCATAGTTAATGTTGTTTTCTATATTTATATAACAGGTTGTACAGCATTGAGAAATACTTAAATTGTAGAATTGGAACATGTAAATGTAAAAAAAATACTTTAAATAAAAGTCTAATAATATATAATCATTTCGTAATTTCAGCATGAGTATAAAGAGTAAAAAAAAAAAAAAGCGGAAAGAAATTCTCGTGAAATTTTAAAATAACTATATGAGGGTTAAAAAGAAACATGGAACTACGTATGCACATATAGTATTAAAGGAACTACAGACATGAAAAAAAAATTGTAGAATAACGCTTTTGTTGGGGTTTATGAATAAATAAACATTTTTGTATTTTTTAAAATATAAAAATATTTATAAATTGTAATAATTTTATAATATATTCCATGATTTAGACCAGCGGTACTTATAAACACTTAGGTAAATATAAAACATAAAGTGCCCCAAGCATGTACATTCGTACGTTAAGAATTTTATTCCCTCCTAACAGCTCGTTTATTCCTTTGTTCTCCTAAAATGAAATAGCTAATGTTTGTCAATATTGTTATTAGAATACGCATTGTTGTCAGTAACGTCAGGGCATAAGTGGTCACAACAGCAATTATTATAAGAAAAATTTAAGTTTGAATCTTTATCATTTGTTTGAGTCCCATATAACTGTACACTTCTTTGCAAACTACGTAATATGTTTTTTGGAATGCATCTATTTATTGTTGTGGCGAAATCTTTAAATTTCCCATTGCTGTCTAATTCATGGTATTTGATTAAGTTATTTAATTGGGGGGTTATTGATATATTTAATTTATTTAAGCATAAGTAAAATTCGTTCTCTGAAATTTTGTTACTAATATAATATTTTATTAAATTTTTCACTGTGTTATTAAAAAAATCGTGTGATATGAATTCTTCTTTCTTCATGTTAAAGTTTTCCTTCCCCCTTAAATAATTTGAAATAAGTTCAACATTCTGAATTACATTGTCAGCATCTGTTACATTTAATCCTTCCCATGCTATTGGGTTTCTATGCATGTCTTGAAAACACTGTTGTTCATTCTCATCAATGTTTAACTTTCTCCATTTTTCGTCCTTTATTTTACTTACAAAGTTGTTTCTATTTTTTCGATTTTTACTATCGTTAATGTATAACGTTTTCATTACATTTGCAAAACTTAATGATCTACTTGGGCCATACAAGTATAGAGACCTTTCAAATTCTGGAGTAATATCAATATTGCCGTTAATTAGCTTGGCCTTGAATTCGTCATCTCTTAATAAGCATTTATCCCACTGGGAGTATAGTTTTCTTATAATTTCGTTTTTTTCTTGGGTATATTTATCAATGTCTTCATACCTATCCTGAATGTCCATAAATTTAGGATTAATGGATTCTTGCACGGATTCAGAATTATTTCTCATCGTTTTGGAAGGGTCATGAATGAGCCATAAGTTTTTATAGTTCACAAAACCGTCTTCAGTTACAATGCAATGTTTCATCAAATAATCTATAATGGAACTACCATACTCAATTTGAAACAAATCCAAGACATCAATAAAGGTATTATACATAATTAGTCCGTTCTTGTTTTTATCTCCTTTCTTTAATTCGCTGCATATTTTTTTCATTAAGAGATCGAAATTGTCACCATACATGTTGCAGCCATGGTTGTTGTTGTTTTCCATTTTTTCGACCATTTTGTGAAATGTAAAATGAAAAGGAAAAAAATAAGGTTATTGCTTAAGTATTGTACGTTCTGATATGGTACATTAAAGAAATTAGACATTCAAGTAATATTATATCTTGTTTAGTACATCATTTCGGTAAAAGTAAACTGCTTGTTTTTTCTTCCTGAATTTTTTTTTTTTTTCTCACGTTCTTTTGCCTTGCATTTTTTTTAGAGAAATATTTTCCTTATATGGCCTATTAAATTACAAAAAATGCGTGCATTTGTATATGCGCTACACATAAGAGAAATACGTGAAACATAGACAATTACAATTTTTATATTTCTGATTTGTGAGGGGAGTACTGGGGCACAGCATATACAGTACCTTTTAAATTAGAAATAATTGAACAAAAAACAAAAAAAAAAAAATGGAACAAAAACAAAAACTAAAAAATAGCTTTCTAAGTTGTAGGAAAAAGTTCTCACGAATATGATATATATTTTTTCAAAAAACACATTTTTGCCATTCTTGAATTATACACATATTACTGTGCAAGCGCGTTTATTTTTCCCACAAGCAGAGAAGGGTGTAGAATTTTCCTTATCACTGCTTTTGCACACTTTAATAAATACGATATGCTGTGTTTATAGGGAAAACTCATAACCTTCTTTATATTGCATTTTATTTCCATTTCACTTCATCGATAGTTTTATTGGTACATAAGACAACAAGTATGTGCACGGATAAGCTACTTTTAGTGCTGAAAAAATTGCTTACAATTGTTTTCAAGTGTAGGGAGTATTTTTACCTATTTTTTTTTTTGATATATGAAAAAAAAAAAAAAAATAAGCAAAAATAATGTACCTCCATAGATGAAAAATTTTGTTTGTTATGAACAAGTCAGGTAAATATGTATTGTACGCACTATAGGGAAATGAGATAAAGCCAAAAAAATGTAAATTTTTTTTTTTTTTTTTTTTTTGTTCAGGTAAAATAGGAATATTAAGTTAAACGCTAGGGAAAATTGCATCATTTGTAGAAATGTGCATTTGTCTGCTTTGGGGCTAATTAGCCAAAAGTGCGAAAAAGAATTCATGCATTTGTGTGACCCCATTTTGTGTAATTAACTTGTCCTGTGTTGTACCTTCGTTTTTAACCAATTTTGTCATCACTCTGTCTGGTCTTTCCACATTTTGCTATTCCCGAAGGATGACCTTTACAAAATTTAAATATAATTTGAACGGAACTGATAAGAATATCATGGGAAGAATTTAAACACCAGCTTGCTTAAGGTTCATTTATTAAATGTGAAAAGGTTAAGCGGAATATTTTCGTATACATAGTACACATTGTGGCGTATGTTTTTTTTATTGCAGACGTTTAAATGCAACAGCTTTATTTCCTTTTGCATTTAAGCACCTTGTGTCAAAGCGTAGTTTTTTTCTTCCTGTGTGCATTAGGAAGGAAAGTTTAAGGTTACTACGAAGCTAAATCTGACAACAACAAAAAAAAACAAAACAAAACAAAGAAAAAATATACACGAATAGGAGAGGAATGGAAATACAAGCAGCAGCACGTATGCAAATGTGCGCACATTGTTGTTCCCAAACGTTCACGTGGTATAAGGAGGGTGTGACATAGTTGTTACATAAAACACGTTTACGGTGAGAAAGAGGCCCACGCAAGGTTTAGTAGCAATAAACAATTTTTACTCTTCCGTTTCGCGAATTTGGATTTGTTAACAACTGCACACACGCATAAATATATATATCTGTGTATGTATGTGCGTATGCATGTGTATATGTATAAAGCACACCTGCGCATGCAGGCTAAGAACGCCCTAATGAACACTTTTGGAAGGTGAGGTATCCAGCGTGGCGCTTTTAGCAGCCTGGTCCGCCTTGGACTCGATGCTGCGTATTACATGCTTTATATTTCTTCTCTCCATGGAATGCAATTTGTGTATAAAATAGCCATTCAAAAAAGAAAACGCAGAAAAAAAGTACAGGAAAACGACATTGGACAGGGTTATATTTTTCAACACATCATTAGATTTTAAGCTTTTAAAACCGGAAATATCTTCTACAATAGCTATATTTAAAAATATTGCAACACAAAGGTCAATAAAGCCATTTAATAAGTAGCCGTGGTAATTGGCATCCAACAGTGAAAAGAAGGTGCAAGATATGGAAACAATTTGAATTAAGTAGACGCTATTGTTACCAAAGAGAAGATACGTTATAAAATAAATTAATTGTAGACCAATAAATCCTATATAAAATTCTCGCATTATTCTTAGCAGCCTCCTAATATTTAAAATATGTTTACTATTTACAACTTTTAGTAACTTCTCTTTACTTTTGCTGACTTGTACAACAGACAATATTTCACTTTGCTTCTTATTTTTAAAATCTTCATATGACATATTTATATTCAATTTTTCATCCATCGAGTATTCAGAATCTGTTGTGGTTATTTCTGATGTTGGGTAATTTTCATTTGATTTTCCGTTTATATATTTTTTTTTCTTGTGTAACAGATGGTTTAGTGAATGGTACGTATTAAATTCGGGTATGTCTTTTAGTGATGTCTGGATTAATCCCTTTGCGTCATACGCGTCATCATCATAGTTACTTGCTATTTGATCTTTTCCCTTTGTGTTGGCTAGCCCACATTTTTCATTTCTCATTTCATCATTCTGTAGTTCTTCTCTTGCATTATCATGTAAGCTTTCAATAGACAAAGAGTTGGACACGTTCAAATAATCACGTTCCTGCTGCGTGAGGTATTCGTTTGCTGACCATTTTGATTCGTTCGTATTGAGCAAGTCTGTAGGCAGCTTTGCATCACGCGCGTACGGCTGTCCATCTAGATCTACACTTGCCCTTACACCTTTTAATTTGCATTTTTGTTCCCTTTTGTATGTACCTCCATTTGTATCCATTCCATGTTCATATTTATCGGATTCTCTGCCTCGTTCTCTACCGCTCACCCTTTTCCCCTTTACCATTCCCTTTATGCTTTGGTTTTCATTGGAGGAATCACCACCATTTTTGCAAAACGTTTTCTCATCGTAGTAAAAATTTGAGTCACTTTCTGGGTCTTCATTTATTGGAAGCTGTTCCAAGTCCTTGTGTGTTTTTTTTTCCTTACTGTGATGACGATGCTGCTTCGGCTGTGCATCCTTATTGCTATATTTCATTTCCCTCAATTTTGTGTCCTTATTTTGGTGGTTTCTTTTTTTGTCCACGTTACTACCTTTAGTTTGGTACGTGGGAATCAAAATAGATGAGGACACCTCTGAGGTGTTATTTGAAAAGTTCGAGTTTGAAAAATTTATATTGCTTTTTCTGTTGTCTGAAATTTTGTTCATATTAAAATAAAAGTTGCCATCATCACTTTCTTTTAACACATCACTTTCGTCTTCAATTGACAATTTTTTTAACGTTTTTGCATAAATATCATATATGGTATGTTTCTCGATTTTATGGTTGGAGTTGTGCCTTTTTATTTTTTCGTTTATTGCATGTTTGATGCTGCTGGAGGATTCCGAGTTGTTATTTTCTTTTTCATGGTACAGAATTAGGGAGGTGATTTGCGGGAAAACGGGCGTGTCGTACAAATTGCTGTCTTGGGCGTTGATTGCGTTCACGTCATTTTGCACTAATTTTTCTTTCCCTTTATTTTTGCTAAGCATCCTTTTGTTCTTTGTGCCTTTGTCTGACTGCGAGTTTAAGGTTACTATGTCATTTTCTACATCGTTGACATTTTTTAGCTTTACTTTACTTTTGGTTTGTTTTCTCGTTTTTGACTTTTCACGATGAAATTCTTTTAACTTAATTTCGTTTAGGACTGTGTTAAAATCGTTGCTGTTGTTTATGTTGACTGAGAAGTCATCGATTTCCGTGTCATTATTTTTGCTTGCGCTTTTCACCATCGTTGCAGTTGTGTGCTGTTCCCAAAAAGAAGGGGAAAGGGGGGGGGGGAAAAAAAATAAAGGCCAAATTATCGACGTAACAAAAAGGAGCGGGGAAGCTGTTAAAGTTTCGTTAATATTACGCAAATACAATTTTTAAAAAATTTAGACAAAAGTGTAAAGGAAAAAAAATTCTCGCTTGTACAAAAGAATACTTTTCCCCTCTTTTTGAATAAATAAATATGGCCGAAATTGCTCTCTTGTTGTTTTTGGTTAAGGAGCAAAATGGGTGAAATTATCGTTTTGGAATATGGGTTATAATTTTTTTTTTTTTTTTTTTTTTTTGGCACGTGTGTACGTGTGCAGAGGGTGGGAAAAATTGTACAAGTACGCATTGCATATGTGTACACATGTGACCATACACACAAATGGCACAGCGATATAACTCCCAACCTCCAAAAAAGAAACCGCGAAAAAATCAGCACAGATTATTTAGCAACACGAGGCAGATCTGAATTAATGCTTTACGCAACAAAGGGGGGAAAATTTCAGTGCCGTTGGAACTTTCATACGGGTGTGTCGCCTTCGCAGAAATGTTTTTTTTAGGGAATACTGTGTGCATACTCGCATATTCACATGCGCATATACATATGCGTGTATATGTGAACGTAATTCATATGCGAACGTTTATTCCGCACAATTTGCAATTTCCGATCTAGGCCTGCTTGCGCAATTTGCGCACATGTTAAACGAAGCAGGGAAACACACACCCCACCAACACAACACCCATGTGTTTTTAAAAAAATTCTCCAATTTGTTTGCTACTGAGCTGGACACGCAAAACAGCCTCTCGCTGTGATTAAGTTTTTTTTTTTTTTACGCGCATGAAAAGAGAAAAAAAATTCCATTGAAGTGACGCACACTGCGGAAGAATATATTCTTATCACTGAGGTGATAAAACAGGAAGCAACTTCACATGGGCTTGGCACACAGCCGTTAACGAACACACATATATACACACTCCCCCCTGTTTGCTCTGCTTTCATTCGCCCAGTTAAGGCTTCGGAACATCCTCCTTTTCCACACGGATGTTCTTTTTCATGTGTCATGCATTAAGCGGCATATAATTTATCGTTTCCTTTTTGTCAAGTTTTGCGCTAAATATACATTTTAACAGTTTATGTTTAAAAAAAAAAAAAAAAAAGAAAAGAAAAGCACAGTGTGTGTAGAGGAGCTAAATGAAAAGGTACAAATTGCTAATCAGCAAATACGCAACTGTGCAAGAATTAAAGGGGTGGGAAAAAAAAAAAAGTTTTCTCTTTGCAAGGAATTCTCCACCCTCCTCTCTCTAGATAAAATTTCCATCCATGCTGCTCGTTGCTCATGTCAAGAAAAGGAGAAAACACCATCCGCAGATTCCTTAAAGTCCCAACTTTGTTCGTCGCCAGTGTCTTCTTTTTGTGTTATATCTAATAAAAAGGGGTAGGGGGAGAGAAAAAGGGAATAAAGGCATTTTATACGTGGGTGGGTGGACCAATGCGCACACGTGTTAGAAAATTGCCGCTTGCAAGCTGCCCTATTGAATACATAAACGGTACGCGCCCATTGCCTTACCTAATTTTTGTGTCCTTTCTCAACCTGTACCAGTGGGGCACTGGTCTATTCTTCTTCCTGCATTTTCCCAATTTCTGCTTTAGTTTGAAACTTTTAATGGATCCCTGCGAGGAGCAACATGGTGGGGTATAGGGTACATAAAAAGATATGTTTCACATGGGCACGGCGGGGGAGAAATATATGAAACAAGCGCCAACACGCATAAGAACAACGAGGAACAACGTTCCTGTCGCCGCGCTGGAGCGATCCTTCACAGGTTCCTGCGGCGTTCATTTTAAGTAGTCACGCATTGGTTGAGCGCGGCGCGCAGTAACATTAAACACAACAGAAAATGTACATCCGTAAGAGCATCCATACATAGAAACATATATGTATATATTTACGAATACATGTCACGTGATGTTTCTGTGTTTTTTCCCCTCTGGAAAACTCCCACTTACCATTTTGAATAACGCGCGGGGGGAAAGTACTAATTTGTGAGAACGATAACTTCAACAAGGGTCACAATTGGCATAAAAAAAAAAAAAACCTAAATATGCAACTTTGCTTATCTACGATTCGAGTGAAAGGCTAAATATATTTCAGTAACGTAAAATAAAAATTTGTTCTCAAAGTGTTGCAAGTATTCCTTTTTTTTTTTTTTTTTTCATTTACATGTTAAGAAAAAAAAAAAAAATATATCCCATAAGTGCGAGAAGAAGAAAAAAAAACTGAGTAAAATGAAACTCAAATGAATGGGAAAAAAACCATGCAATATATTAAAACATGGCATAAAGAGATGATATGCCGCCTAAAAAAAAAACGAAACGAAACGAACGCTTTAATTTACCCCCGAGAAAAAAGCAGCCCCTACACCTCTAACAGCGTGCCCCGGCGTTTGCTTTTGCCGTCAGCCTCAACTCTAAAATGTGGTGCGTGCGTTATGCTATACAAGTAACAAACCTACTGTATATGTATGACATATGCAACGCCCGTTTATGCGTATTTTTTTTTTCCCCCCCGTTTTGCTTTTCTTTCTCAAGTTTTGAAAACCCCCACTGTTCCGTCCGGGTAAGGATCACCCGGGGAAAACGGGCGGGGTAGTATAAACCCTTCTATGGGTTCAAAGAATTGCCGCGACGTAAAAATGAGAACAGAAACAAGTATAGGCTCAGCCCGCGCACTTTTTTTCTTTTGCTATGTTTTACTTGGCACAAAAATATGCCGTTTTAAAAAATGGCGGCAAACCCTCTAAAGATGGGAGTATAACTCGTTCATTGCGCCTCCTACCGTAATAATAAAAAAAAAACGGGAAAAAATTACATTTGCATCATTAGCCGATAAAACAACTGTTAACTGTTCCACTTTTTCCCCATTTTGCATTCCCATTTCATATTTTTATTTACCCCTTATAGGGAACTATTTCGCATAAGGTTTTTTTTTTCTATATCAGTTAGCAGTTTTTTTTACTGCCATGAAAGGAGACGTTTTTTAAGCAACCCTGTAACGGTCAAAATGAAAACACTATGTGCTGAGTTGTTCCTTTTTTTCACACAAAAGTGGAACGTACAGAATGGGGAAAACTTTTCCCTTTTTACCCCTTCGCATAATTTTGGAACGTGCTCCTCTTTTCTGGTTGACCTCCCAACCCAGCTATATATACACTTACCCTCTAAAAAGGGTACACTTTTTTTTTGGGGGGGGGGGGGCGGCTGCCCGTTTGGGACATTTTGTACATTTAAAAATGTGAGCACTGCTGTTTGGGCAGAGTAAAACAAAAGGGAAAAAAAAAAAAAAAACGCTTTCGGCTTGTGAAAATGAAAGCGGAACAAAAAAAAAAGGTTAAAAAGGTGGGGGACAAAAACAAAAAAAATGGAAAAAAACGAGGGGTTAAAATCAGGTTGACGTGGTAAGAGAAGGGGCGCCACAAATATCACGATGCATGCACCCCTATACACACACACACACGTTGCCAAACCTGAATTTAAAAAGACCTCATAAAATTACCAACCGAGTTGTAACGGCTGGAGGATGGCTTAAAAAATGAGCTCAGAAAAACTATTCATAAATTCGTGAAAATCTTGGCAGTTGGCACGGATGGTTATTAAATACTTCTTTTCTGTGTTTTCAAAGCCCTGCGAAAAAAGGCATACCAGATGGGTGCCACAAAAAAAGTGGAGACACATAATGGGCATGGTGTGTTGAGGTAATAATACAAGAAGCGCACAATACATGTACAACGTGCATGACGCTCGTTTATATATATATATATATATTTTCTTTTTTTCCCTTACACTTGCATCCTCGTGCAGTTCTATGACCCCTTTGCACGCCTTCGCAGAGGAAACGTACAACTGAATCATTTCGCCTTGAAATGTGGACAGCATGCTTCGCAGGGGAAAAAAAAAAAAAAAAAGGGGGGGGGGGGGGTTAAGTGGTTAATGAGCACATTGTTAAACGGGTTGGAAGTTAAATGAATAGGCGAATGGTGGTACGCCTCAGCTGTAGCAAAATCAGCGCAGGGATAGATGCGATGGCCCTTCATATCTCTTCTCCAGGCAGGCGGTGCACAATTTCATTTTCATTCTTATTTCCATTCTGATCACGCTTACCTGAAATTGCTGCTACCCCTATACATATTAAAAACGGGTGAAGTGCACAGAGATAGGGAATCCAATGTGATATCAAAATTTCCCCTAATGAGAGTGTCCAGTTCCCTCTTCGTGGCCTCACTTGTTATGAACGAATTTTCTAACCGTACAATGCTGCGACGGGGTTGGAACGGGGTCGGCAGGTCAGCACTGTGGGGGGGAAACATACAGACGACGCACTACAACGGTGATGCAATGCACGGGTGGGTGGGGGACAAAAAAAAAAAAAAAAAAAAAGGACGCGAATAGCTTACCCTCCTTGGACATCGGACGTCTCGTCCGGGGCGTTCATATGAAAATCCAGCGTGAGCATTTTCGGCTTTTCTCCTGCGCGGGAAAGGGGGGAAAAATGCAAACAGTGCAAAACGTGGAAAAAGTGCACAAACAAGAATAAATAAATAAAAAAAAAAAAGCGTTACACGCTGCGTACCCCCCCCTTTCGTGCAACTTACCCTTTTCATAAAAAACCTGCTGCATCATATTAGATCTAACAATTTTAACAACTCTTAATTTCCCCTTTTCCTTGTAACTCTGGTCCATGATGCATGCTAGGTAATTCCACACTGCCCTGAATTCTTGCCGATTAATTTTTCTACAGACACTAAAGTTTATTTGCTCTCCATCACCACATCTCACTTTTTTTATTTTTTGGTAAATCATCTCCAGTTCATTCAACATTTTCTGGCTCAAAACGAGTGTCAGCTTTTGCGGCTTAGTAAGGTGCTCTCTCCTAAAACTACGTATTTCCAGGACATTGCTTTTTTCTTCATTCACGCTTTCCGTTGGAGGTGTAACTTCTTTCCCATCTCCTGCCTCGTCTGCAGTGTTGTCTTCACTAGGGCTATCCTCATTGGTGCCATCCTCCTCCTCGATGACACAATTGTTGAGCACACCAAACGCATGGTCTCCATTTTCCGTGATACTTCCATTCGCATAATAATGCACACCCCCCTTCTGATGTTGCTCTTCGCCATGCAGATTCTCCTCATCCAATTCAATGGTAATGGAACCAGCTTCCACAAATTCTTTCACCTTTTTATTACCCCCCTTTTGTTCTTCAAAAATGTTATAAGCTCTATTTGTTACGTGAAATTTTTCCCCGTCTTCCAAATTATACACAGACAGAATGACACTGTCATTATCCCTGCTCGGGGCATTCCCAAAGGAGGTACTGCTATCGCCATGTCCTTCCTCGGTCAGGTATGCCGCTTCCTCTTTTTCTCCATCTCCCTTTGTCGCTTCGTCCTTCTCTTCCTCTTCCTGTTCTTCTCCCTTTGCTGCTCCTTTTCCATCGCTCAGATCGTCCGTCCCGTTAGCGACATACAGATCTTCATAGTTCAACTTACAAACATCGTCCAGCATTATCCTCTCGTACTCAATGTTTTCCTCGTGGGAACTTTTGCTCGTTTGTTCTCCCTGTTCCGTGTGGTGAGGTTGGTTCGCCGCATAACCTCCTTCCGCGTCGGGTTTGCTAGACAGTTCGCCAATAGGTTTATCACACACATCCGGATCCCCCAGGCTGCTCTCGTCCCTGCTGTCCGCCTTGCCCAAACGACTATCCCCATTTCTACCCTCATCATGTCCTTCACTTGAATTGTCCACACTAGGTTCGTTAAATATTTCTTCTATAGAAGAATAAATATTCTTACAACCAAAGTCCTTGGCGGCGCTTGCATGTTCATCCCTTTTGTCATCGATCCAGTTGGCATGCTGGCTAGATAAAGTGGAAATATTATCCACATCTACCACGACGGCTTCCCCTTCCCCATATAACGAGTCCTTATTTTTTTTCATTTCATTGTACTTGGTAATGGACTGTTCTATACTTTTGAGCGACATGTCAATGCTCATTTCCATGACATTCTTCTGCTCATCCTTTGAATCATTTTTTACACTAGGCGAGTTTACCAATTTGGAACTCTCCTCTGCAGAAGCGTCGTCCTTGGCTTGGTTGTTACTACTATCGACTCCGAGGCCTGGACACGAAACACCATTTACACAATTGTCATTACCCACTCCCTGCCAACTGTGTGGGGAAAGGTCAGAACCTGGATGGCTCAAATGGGTTCCCTGTGCAGATGATGCTTCACCGGGGAAAGGAGTAGCAGTGCATCTGGCTGCAATGGCTGCTGCACCTACCCCGCCATTAGGACTCCCTTCACCTGTGTAAGAATAACCTGAAAGCACATGTTCAATATTCTCATTTTCATGATTCATGGTACTTGCATCCTTTGGGGTACCCACCAATCTTCTACTGTTCTCTAATCCTGTTCCCACTGCATCCACGTGGGCTACACGGTTCTCATCAGCACTGTGTACATTGTACTCCATACCACCGCTACGGCCCGGAGAAATAGAGCCCCCTTCGTTTGTAATTTGAATGCACGGTTGTTGTTGTTCTTGTTGTTGTTGTCCGCTGGGCATGTACTGGGTACCGTTGGCACCTTCTTCTATACCCTTATTGTCATTACCCTTAGGTAGCTTGGAATTTTTCAATTGAGAGTCATTCCTGCTACTCATTTCCTTCTGCGATGACTTCACCATTGTGTCATTATTGGATGTTAACCCTAAACCCTGGTTCACCTGGTCATTTTTCTTTTTTCTTGACCTCTTGGGAGGACTAGCCAACACATTCGTAGAACCCGCATTCACATTTGCCTGTTCATTCGAATTTGATGCAGCACCAGCTTTTTTCCTCTTGTAGGAACCTTTTGCATTCGTACCAGTCACCGCTTGAGTATTTTGTCTCATGGGCATATTGGCTAGCTGGGAGGGATGATTCAGGTCATTAAGGCCATTCCCATTATTCAGAGGTATATTTGCTCCACCCATGGACATCATATTGTCTTCACAAGAAATGCCACTCACACTTGTCGACATGGACTTAGATGTGGTGCTCGCAACATCCTGAATTCTCAAATTCCTATTCATGTTGTAGAGCAAATTGTTTGGGTTCTCTAATATCATTCCACGGGCAGATGTAGTAGGAGGGGAAATCATAATACCTGCTGATCCATTCATACAGTGATTAAAATTTGCACTCGTACCATGCACATTCTGCATAGGGTAATTCATCGCCAAGGCATTTGTGGCCCCATTATTACTTAACTCCCACTCTCCTTGCATCACACCAAGTGTGTTATTCTGCCCGTTGGTCTCCTTCATCATTGTGTTATATCCACCTGAGGAGGGCCCTGTAGGCGACCCAACAACATCAGCAGTGTTGCTTCCCTTCCTCGAGAAGTTATTCCCTTTCTTATAAGTCACATTCATATCGTCATTGTACAGCTGATTATTCACACCACCACTACCAACAGGGCCATTACTCCTATTTGCATAATAAACACCATTAGGATTGTTACTACCCCCGCCGCTCATATTGTTGTTGTTGTCCATGCCGATTAGTCCGCCTACCCCATCCATGTTCATGCTATTCATTAACATATTAAAATTATTATTAATGTTGATAATATTTTTTAAGTTAACGGGACTCTTCTGATCGCTGGTGGGTGTGGGGACATCATCCATTGACTGGATGAACCCGTGTTGCCCATGTCCGCTGTTGCTATTATCGGGTAAACCTTCATACGAATTGGGGGGAAAACTACCATTGTTGTGCTGGTTAAAATTTACACCAGGGTAGTTTCCACCAGCATGAGTAGTGGTCACCATCCCGTGGTCTCCGTACACATAGTTAGCGACGTGCCCATTGTCCATACCACCATAAGCATACTTATTCGTATCATTCGGAGAGCCATACTTACCATTGTATAGCTCCACATGAGGATGGTTACTACTTACACCATGTATGTTTTTCATGTTGGGATCAATTTGGCCTCCCAATGGGTTCAAGTGAAAACTACCACCAATGCCACCACTTTGGAAAATTCCGCCGTAGCCATCGCTACTCCCTGTGTGCTGCATCGTCGCTGGTCCATAGTTCGAGGTACCCTTGCTGTATAGTCTGATCATGTCTGGTGTCCACATATGTTCCTTCTCCGCGGGGAACGCTCCAGTTGCCGCGGTGGCCATAGGTACATGGTGCGGGCCGCTGAACCCATTGGCGCTACCGCCACGGGAGCCCATCATACCGACACCACCATTCACCTCAGACGTGTTCACCAGATTTGTGCTGTGAAGACCGGCCAGGTTATTTCCCCTGTGCATAGCAGCCTTCATAGCTTCACCACCATCATCACTGCTGCTAACCATGTTGCCAGATTGCATAGCCTTGTTTAACTGGGTAGAGCCTCTCCTTTTGGAGCTAGCCATTACACCATTACCATTATGCATATCATTCAAATTTTTTTTTCTTCCAACAAGGGGAAATTCATTTTTATCCACGTGAGGCGGAGATCCCCTACTACTACCCGCCCCCCCTGTGGTAGAGGCTAACAGTTCATTTTTTGGGCCCAAGTGTGAATCCATATTTTCTTTAATCATCATGTAGTCTCTACTTAGGTGATTTCCGTTCACCTCTGCAGGGTAGAAATTCTGGCCGTTGTCTTCGGGTAGTAGCCCTGCATTTCTGTTCAGCGCCATTAACTTGTTATTCAGTGTCGACTCGTTCATCAGTAGGTGGTTCGAGCCCACACCACCACTTCCACAAGCACTTCCACCACCACCTGCACTCTTTAGGACATACCTATTATGCACTGGGTCGTTCATGCCCCCACCCGCACTCATCACATTGGCAGTTGCATTTTTCATCTTCACGGGGTTCCTCACGATAGTTTGATTATGTGCATCTGCAAAATGGTGGGTGTACATAGAACTGGTCATACTACTCATAGGTACTGCACCGTTGGCCCCCTTCCCCATCATGCCCACTTGGGAAATGTGGTTCGTGCCAACTACGTTACGCGACCCTGAGCCATTAATGTTGTCTGTGTTTCCGTGGGGGGGGTTGGCTGTGCTTGAGTCAAGAACTCCTCTTCTGTGCATCGCCAAGCCTTTTGTTGCATCTGCTGGGTTCAGGTTGTTCCCTTTGGCTATCATTTTTAGTAGATCGTAGTTTGCGTTCACCTGGGAAGCGCCGCTCCCATTCACACCGCTTCCAGTCACACCACTCCCACTCCCACTCACACCGCTTCCTGTCACACCACTCCCATTGGCGAGGTAATAACTGGGCAGCGCCCCGTTGCGCTTCTCAGAAATGGGCTCCCCAGTGTACACGTTACTACTGCCATTGTTAGCCTGGGCAAACTTCATAGAGTCGCTGAAATTCTCTGGAGAGTCCAACTTTGAACCACTTTTGTTCATCTCCCCCATCGATGCAATATTATTGCCCACGCTCACTGGCCCATAAACATTTTTTTTTAAATTATTTACATCTCCTACATTCACATTCTTCATACCATTTATTCCACTAGATAAATTAATGGAAATATTATTATTTATTTTTTGTGTGATATGATTATTGTGCACTACTTGTAAATTATTCGTGACACTATTGGTCATGCTGTTGGAGAGACTATTGGTGAGGTTGTTTGTGAGGTGATCAATTTCGTTCGCTGTGTTGGTCAAGGCACTGGTCAGGCTGTTCACTTGCCCATTGTGCGATCCATTCATGGGACTATTAATGGGGGAAGTACCCATTCCGTGGTGCATACCACTACTGTTGTTTCCAGTAGGAGTACTACTACCTGCGTGCATACCAGATGTGCCCTTCGCTGCCCCGTTATTACCCACAGGATACTCGCCTCCTCTGGGAGAATATACATTTGACGTGTTCGCCTTAGAACTGCAAAATGCCTTTTTCGCACTGCAATTTCCATTTGTGTTGTGCGTTGGGGATGAAAGGTCCTTGTTGCCCCCACTTGCTTTCATCTTCAATGCACTTAAACTGCCACTGTGCGGGGTGCCACTGGGAGTTGTGCCACCATGCGGCGTGCCACTACCGTTAACGTACTTACTGCTGCTTATAAATTTGTTTTCATTTAGAGAACCGTTTTCCGGGTAGGATCCTTTCCCCGCGTCGGCGCTGTTGTTATTGTTGTTGACCTTGCTGTAGGGATTAAAGTGAGTCGCTTGGCCGCCGCTCATCATGGCGCCATTCACCATGCCGCCGCTAACCGAACTGGGGAGCACACCGGTCATGCCGTTAGTGGCCTCTTTCATGGAATGTGGCTGGTGGTAGCTACTCATGTTATTCACTTGCACGTCGTGATTGTTCACTGCGTTCGACGGGTAGTTGCCCGACTGAATCATGTTCATATTTTTTATCACGTTAAACTGCTGGTTTTCCTTTTTGCTGGACAACACGTTGGGTATGTCATTTGGGATGGAGACGCCGTAACCACCACCATAACTACTACCCTGCACACTTGCGTGACTGCCGGCGTGCCCCGCTCGCAGCACGGCACTTAAGTGGCCACCACCCTCACTGCTCTTATTGTCATTCCTTGCGTTCATTATAAATTCAGCATTGTCGCGCACAAAATTGTTGCTCATGTTGCTGTGGTGGTAACTGCTCATAACATGTGCATGCACATGATTATCGTTGCTACTGCTAGTCGGGTCATTGGCGTTCCCCCTGGGGATGAAATTTCCCACATTTTGGGGGACCTGCGCGCAACCGTTTAGGCCACTGGGGAAATTGCTGCCGCTACCGATTCCTCCACCAATCCGGCCACTACTACCATTTTGCATCGTCCAGGAACTACCCGTTTGGTTGATCAGGTTGGGCCCGCCCGCACTGAAGCTGTTCTCCATGTTGCTACTTCCGGTGAAAGCACCTCCCGTGTGACTGCTTAACGGATGCGACTGATGGGGCGCGACGTCAAGTTTAGAGCCGTGTGTATTGCCAACCCCAATCACTTGCTTCCCATGATCCGTACAGTTGGTAAAATTTTGCACACTGCTGTAGGGACCCATCCCGTTGCCACCGCCACTTCCACCGCTATTGCTACTACCACTACCAGTACCCATTTTGGCACCCACGGGGGTGGCGCTCACCGCCACATAACTGTCAACACTTTTGCGCGGGTCGACAAACTTAACACCGTTCTTATTCACACTACAAAAAGGTAGTGCACTAGTCTCGTTTCCACGAAAATTGCCTTGCACTTTATTGTAGTCATTTAACACTTGGTTATTATTCATTACGGGGGCACACTGCTGTGGAACATCCATCATCATTTCCCCCTTGCCATTTACATTTAGTACTTTGTTCATGCTGTGGAAAACGTGTTCAGATTTTTTCCCACTCATATTTAGTCCCACACTGCTGCTGTGACTTTGGGGTGTCACCATGTTGCCCTTATATTTGCTGCTCCTGCATGCACCGTTGCTAAGAGCGCGGCTGTGACTGTTCCCGCCTGGGTCGTTAGGCCCGCCAACGCAATTTGCACCAACGTTGCCGCTAACACTGCCGTAATTTTTGCTCACATAATTAGCATCGTAGCCATCCATCACGCCTTGGTAATTATTTCCCATTCCTCTTGTACATTCTTCTCCCATTTTTCCACCTTCGGCGTTCATAATATTTGCATAAGAAAGAACATTACTCGCGGCAACCGCACTGCTGCCCTTCCCCAAGTCGTAGTTTCCCTTCCAGGTATTCATTTGTTTACTCACCATGGCACCCTGATTTTGTTGTGTACCTTGTGTCATACCGTTTGGGTGTCCTTGGGAGGCGCTGTTCATCGCGCAAATATTTGCTCCACCAATTGCGGCTACATTTGGGGTTAAAAGATTGTCGCGCGGGTGGTAAGGCATCCCTAACATACCAGGGGTATTTGCGTTCACCATGCTGTTAGTACTACTCGCGCAGTAACCGTTCTGCGCACCCAGCACTTGGTGCTCCTGGTTCAGGGCAGAATTCTGCTGCAAACTGTAGTTGCACATATTTGCATTCTTCTGCTCAGGAGTAACATTGTGCAAGTTGTTGCCCGCGCGGGCGGGTGACTGCAAATGGGACTGCATTTTTGGTTGCATTTTTGACTGCATTTTTGACTGCATGTTTGACTGCATTTTTGACTGCATTTTTGACTGCATTTTTTGTTGCATGTTTTGTTGCGCAACTTGGTTCCCACTTGACTGCAAACTGCTTGGGCCGCAGGTCACCGCCTGAGCCACGTTTCCGCTGGGGGGGCCACTTGCGTTGTCAACATTTGTTCTGGCCATAAAATGTTTGGCCTGAGATAAAATCTGTTCCTCATCTGTTACATACAACGGGTGACCATTATTCAGTGCCATGTGCATGGTACTCGCGCTGTGTGTGTTTCCCAGGGAGTTGCCGCTTTGCCAATTCGTCTTACTTTCATTCGCACAGCGGTTTGTTCTGGTATCGTAATTGACGTCACAATTGGAGTCATAATTTGCTGCAAACTTTGCTGTATAATTGGCTTCATAATTGGCTTCATAATTGGCTCCATAATTGGCTCCATAATTGGCGTCATAATTGGCCGTGTTGCCGTAGGGGTGCTGGCCGAGTGGAACACTCTGATGACTCAGCATATGTTGCTTGGCCGATAAATTATAATCGTGGCCATTTGCGCTTTGTCCCATGAAAATGTTCTGACCGTGTTCATAATTTATTAAGTTGGGGGATGTTGGCATATTTACGTTGCAGCCGTTTTGGGGGATGGCAGTCGGGCTGCTGCTCAGCGCGCCGCTCACGCACAAGTTGCTCCTTTTCATTTGGTCGTGCATGTTCACGTCCACGTCGAGCGTCCTTAGGCAAGTGGTTTTTTCCCGCGCTTGCTTCACTCTGCGCTCCATAATACACACCCCTGTGTGTGCACGTAGTATGTGCAGCTGTATATGTATATGCCGTATGTACGTGCCGTAAGTACAGACGGCACATGCGCGAGTATATTTCTCCGCACACGTACTCACAATTGGCTTTTTTTTTTTTTTTCTGCAACACAGTGGCCGTTAAACCATGCACGAAATGTTAAACAAATGTTAGTGAGAGGGGGAGAGGAGAAAATAAATTGCGATGGCTGAGGGGATACGTTGTGGGGGTACACGTTCGTACTTATCTGTACGTGCTCGTATGGTTATGTGTGCATGCATGCACACGGGGGTAACTTTTGGGGTTGCGATAATTTCGTTTCTGCTTACAAGCTGTTTTGGTTCCCAGGAGTGTCTCGGCGATTATATATGTATATATATAGAGGGCGATTGACGGATGGCGAGGAGCCTTTTGTACACTTGCGTGTGTACGTATGCGAGGGCGTTTACTGGCACGACCTACACACGTAACACACGTGCACGCTTGCACATGCGCATCTCTGCGCGTGACGAGAAACGTGCCACACGTCTTGTAACGCAGGTTGAATGGATATCCACGTGCAGGCACTTCAACGATTATTTTTGTTTTTTCCTTAATGCGCGTTAATGCTGTGGACAATGTGCGAGGAGGGCGTTACCGTATTCTTAAATGAATACACGGTGTGAATGAATCTCGAGTGGGTGGATGAACATGCGTGTATTTACCCAGACTCGCACGCACAGATATGCTGAACGATGCAGGTGATGTCCATTAAAAAAGGCGGCCTTAAAAAAATGGACACGCGTGGACAAGGCTGGGTTTGCGCATGAATGTCACCCACAAATGGGAGGGGAGGGGGGATACAAAAAGATGCAGTACAATACGGGGGGAATGCAAAATGATCACATGAACAAATGTTACACAGGGGTGAAAACGCGACACGGCGACGGCCGCGCAAAAGCGCAGTAGTCACGGTCTCGAAAAAAGGGACACATTCACACCCTTTACATACATTTAAACGTTAAGGCATATTTCTACCGAACATTTTGGGGGAAAAAAAAAATTTAAATTGCTGTACAAATTTTTTTTTTTTTTTTTTTTTTTCTTACCACAATTAGGTGTGCATATACATAACAGCTTAAATATTTTTTGGACGCACAAAAAAGGGAAAAAATACACAAACAAAAAAAAAAAAAAAAAATTGAAAAATGTTACGCATTTATATAAACATTTGGTATACTCACATGAGGACAGGAGAAAAAATGCAAAACAAAACAAAAAAAAATGAAAAACAAAATACACATGTTTTTTTTTTTTTTTGTGTATTCTCCTCCTTATGACTCTTAAATCCTCAATCACATTCAAAAATACACCCCTGGGTAAGGTGAAGTAAGTAAATAAACATTTCCACGTTTGTTTTGTTCCTTCACCTTGCAAATGTCGCGTACACCTTTCCTCGAATTGGCCTTGAACGCGTAAAATGTGTTAGCAGTAGGCAAAGACTCTGCGACGTTCGTAAGTTGAAGGACGCGTGGAAGGCAGCATAAAAAAAAATCGCGAAAAGTGTAGGGAAATAAGTCGCGTATGTGGACACAACAAAAAAAACAAAAAAATGCAACAGCGGTGGAAGAACAATGGAACAAGGGAGGAACAAAAATGGAACAAAGGATGGAGAACAAGCGTGTAACAACAGAAAAGGCAAAAAAGAGGAGCTGGCTGTGCATATGGGAAAATTGTGGAACGGGGAACATTCAACAGGGATGGAATTGTGACGAAAAAAAGGAAGAACGAAAAAAACAAAAAGGGGGAAAGAGTACCACGAAGAGGCGCACGACGAAAAAGCGTAAGAACGAAAAAATGTACGAACGAAAAAAATGTATGAACGAAAAAATGTATGAACGAAAAATGTATGAACAAGGAAGGATGGAAAAAAAAAAAAAATTAAACATTAAAAAAGAAAAAAATAGCTTGAAAAATGCTATAAAAAAAAAAAAATACACAAAAAAATTATGAACAGGGGTAAGGAAAATGGGAAAAAATTATGACCTGTACATAATTTTTTTTTTTTTTTTACCAGCGCAAAAGGCTTTCAACAATTTTTATGTATGGCTGACTAGTCGATTGTGTATGTACGCATGAACATAAGCATATTTATACATAGCACCTATCTGTGTGTTCATCCGCATGTACACGTGTAACGGTGTGGGAAAATGTGTAAACAAGGTGCTACTACTTCTGCTACATCAACGTTACACAAAAATTTTGGACAAACGCGCATTCAAGGGCTAGTTGCGCACAAGAAGGGTAAATTATCATAAATTATTCGTAAAGAGCATGTAAAAAAATATATATATATATATCCCACACGTGTATGGCGTTTTCTTACACTTAATAACATTCCACTGAATGTGCACAAAGTGTGTCCACCTGGTATACATGCACATACCTAGCAGGCACGCATACACATTCGCTCGTATGTATGTCCCATGAAGCAGTCGCAATTCGCTCTAAACAATAAACGCAAACTTAGCAGCAAAGCAACCGTTGCGCAGCTGTTTTCAGCAGGAATCTTAATCCAAAAAAGTATTGCTCAAAAGGGTAAGAAGCAGAAAAAAAAAAAAACAATTCGTAAAATGTAAATCTTCTACTGTATGTATCAATGTTGGGCAATCACAACGTAAAATAATTTTTTTTGAAAAGTAGAACTTGTTTTTCTTCTTTTTTTTTTTTTTTTTTTTATTGTGTAATGAAAAAAAATATATATATACGCTTATGTATATGTTCATGTATATTTATACATACTCACGTACAGTGGGGGCTAATAAGTCGCCGATACACGGCATTGCTCGCAAATGCACAGGTAGTAATTCTCGTTGCAGGCTTTTTTAAAACCATATGAAAAGACTGTGCAGGGGGTCTGCGGCTATCTTGGTACACTTGGAAATGTGCGTGCACATATATACGCTAGGGCATTTGCTCACATAGATGCTGTTATACGTGGTAAGTACATGATATGCACATGTGCACAATTTGTTTAGGTATGCACACGTATGATGCCTACTCATATACACTGGGGGTGTGCGCGGGTTATTGGTGATTATGTTGCACAATTTGTAACACCAGCGATGTCACACTGGTGTGTTTAAAAAGCTGTGGCTTCCTTGGTGAAAACGGGGATGCACACATGGGTATGTTGACGGCATTCGCCTTGTAGATGTCGTCACATCACAGTGGCGGACACGCTGCACGTGCGTCACGACTGGCGCGCTTGTGTAAAAAACGCAAGTTCTGTACCGATAAGTGGTAACAAAACTCCCTTGGAGGAAGACGCTTGAGAACAGGTTACACAATGAAGGCGATCAACCCTTTTTCTATGCAGTACAACTACAGTTCCTTCGTACATAACTTTCTCAGCAATTGTTTTTACGAAGGTTAGGGAGTTCCCTCGAAGCGATGACACTTTCACACCATGCGATGAAAAAAAAAAAAAAATGTAAGTATCTCTCACGTATGCTCACAATATGCTTAACAGAGTTAAAAAAAAAAAAAAGGGATGTACAATGAAAACACTTCACGTTTAGCTAAACACACGTTTCCTAATGATGGTTCATTTAAAAGAAAGGTGATATTTACTTATGTGTAGTTGGGGATACATATGACACAAGGGTATTCTCCCTTACAGTGCTTTGCACATTCTTTTTTCTCTACATGTGCTGATCGTTGCTTTTATTGTTTGGAAAATATTCGTTTGTTTTGTTTGTCGTAATGTGACTGTTCCTTTGAAACTTGGCTGTAAAAATAGGCTGTAAAAATAGGCTGTAAAAATTAGCTGTAAAATTAGCTGTAAAATGAGCTGTAAATTTAGCTGTAAAATTGGCTGTAAATTTATATTTCAGCTTGAGTGCCATTTCAGTGCCAGCTTTAATTTTAATTTTAACTTAAATTTTTTTCGCCACGGTGCATGCTTGTCATTGTAAATCTCACTGCACATTTTGTAGAACACCATTCCGGGACCATTTTATGTGTACCCCATTTCATGTGTACTCCATTTTGTGTACCCCTTTTTTGTGTACCCCTTTTTTGTGTACCCCTTTTTTGTGTACCCCATTTTGTGCACCCTTTTTTTTCCTCCCATGTGAACCACGCCGCAAAGGTGGAGGCAGAGTTTTTCCTCAAAGTCTAAATAGGACAAACACCGACATGAAAAGAAGAGCTCCTAACATTTCACTTTTTTCTCGTGATAAATTTTTTAAGGGCGCCAAACGCGTGCATGCCAATATAACACATGTAAAAAAAATGGCCTATGCGACCATGTACACCACAATTCCCTCCTTAGACAGTGCCTTTCCAACAGCTAGCTTTCTTTGCGCACCTACCACGTACGTAAATAATCACAAATGTGACGTTTTAATCGTTTTTACCTTTTATATTTTATTATATTATTTTTTTTTTTTCTGCAAAATTAATTCCGTTCGAGGATTTCCCCTTTTTCGAATTTTCTCCCTTTTCGGGGGAACACAAATGCATACCCGTTTGAGAAAAAAAAAAAAAAAAA